ACCCCCCCGCAGCGGAACCGAGACCGTCAGCTTTAGCCGCATCCCAGCCCCAGGAGTAACCCTCCCCCGGGGTCCCCAGATATCTGCCTGGGCTGGCTTTGAACCCGGAGGCAGGCTCTGAGAACAACTAAGGCTTCAGTTTGAGCCAGGGATGAAGGATGGTGAGGATGGAGAGGATGGAGGAGGTGAGGCCGCACAGCCCCACGAAGCCCGGGTTGGTTTTGTACAGCCCCAGCTTGTCCAGAGGGATAAAAAGGTCGCAGGCGTTTTTCACCACGTCCAGCAGCAGAGGAGGGTTGTTTCGAAGGACGTGGATCAGAAGCCGGAGCTGGATCTGCAACCTCAGCCCCAGCTGCTGGAGCCCGTTGTCAGCCCGAAGCCGGTGCCCGTTCTCGCTGCCTTTCCCTCGCTTCCCGCCCGCCTCACGCTCCATCAGGATCTGGATCTCGTAGGCGTCCCGGCTCAGGTTCACGACAAGGGCAAAGAGATAATACCTGAAAAAGAAGGGAGAGGGATGGGGTGGGGAGGGCAGAGAGAGCAGGCAAACGGCGCTGGGGCGTGCAGGCTGTGGCGCCGGGAGCCTCCCGCTGTTTCCCTGCCAGCTGCAAAAATAAAACGCCTGTGGGGAGGAAGAATCGACGTTCTACTGGCAGCTGGGGGGCTGAGCTCGACAGCTCCCACACGGCTGCTCCCTGCTGTCGGTGTGGAGATGGAAAGGAGAGGAAAAGCCCCCCCCCACAGCACTGGGGGGGATCTGACCCCTTCACCTACCACTACAGGACAGTGGGCACGGGGGACACCCTGGGGGAGCAAAGGAGGGGTAGAAACCCACTCAGCCCAGGGGAAGCCCAGTCCCATTGGGCTGAGGACACCCTCACCTGAAGGACCGCTGGCTCCACTTCTCCTGGTCCACGCTGGGGACGAGCCCCGCCTTCCCCGCCCAGAGGACGTTGTCGCAGGCGAAGTACATGGCCCTGTTCAGGTGGCTGAGGGTGACGCAGAACCGCAGCACCATGTCCGATAGGTGGATGGCCCGTTTCGCCGCCTCCAGCGCCTCGGCCGAGCTTCCCAGGCGCAGCACTGCAGGGTGGACAGACAGACAGCCGGTCATGATGTGCAGAAACAGACTCCACAATCTGTAAGACTGTAAAGTAGGGATGTTTATTCAGCGCTGGGCAGCACGGGGGGCAGTCCCACCAAAGTCGTGCGCACCTCCACGCGGCAGCTTGCCCTGTTTATAGGTAGCAAAGTGTTACATAGACATGAAGTTTCCCAATACGCCTATACATATGCATAACCGGTCCCCACTTCGTAGTAAAATTAGTTCCAAGAGCTCATTTCCATAAGTCCCTCCTGACTGCGCTTGCTCAGTGCCTCCTTGTGGTGGTCGTCGGGCAGGGGGGTGGTGGGGATGAAGGCTGATGGCTCCTCTTCGTCACCGCCAGTAACCCCTTGTTCTTGCGCAGACTCAGTTGCTCCTTGGCTCTTGCCCCCACTGCAGGGTTGGTTTAAGCCAGTTCGTAAGGCAAATTTCTGGTTCTTATCAAGAACTGTCCTTCGTAAGGAGCCACGTATCTTCCAGTGTCAGTTCACGCAAGAGTTAGCAAAACATTCGAGCGCTATCTATCAATTTGATTCTCTGGGCTACAGGCAGGCATTCTTTATTCACGGCGCCGGATGCGCGGGGGATCACTCCACCTAACGTGCAATACCTAGCACCTGTTTCAATCAGGTTATATAAAACAAATACATACATATTCATTACATTCATACATAATCAATCACAGAATCACAGAATAGCAAGGGTTGGAAGGGCCCTCGGGAGCTCACCCAGTCCCACCCCCCTGCTCAAGCAGGTTCTCCTAGAGCACGTTACACAGGACAGCG